CTCATTCCTAGGTATCAGAGGAACAGCCGTGTTAGTCTGTATTCGCAAAAAGAAAAGGAGTACTTGTGGCACCTTAGAGACTAACCAATTTATTTGAGCATGAGCTTTCGTGAGCTACAGCTCACTTCATCAGATGTTTACCGTGGAAACTGCAGCAGACTTTATATACACACAGAGAATATGAAACAATACCTCCTCCCACCCCACTGTCCTGCTGGTAATAGCTCATCTAAACTGACCACTCTCCAAGTTTAAATCCAAGTTAATCCTAGGTAGGTGACCTCTGAGAGCACTAGCTGAGCCTGGGCTGGGTTAATGATGAATCCGGTATTCTTTATTTTATTTAGGACAGCATCCAGGGTTTCAAGGTTCTCCTCTCTTGTGTGGCAGTAGCTACTAAGATGTCGTCCACATAGCTCAGGATATTGTCTCTTTCTGCCATGGAATTCCACATTCTTGAGGCAAATCAGTGGCAAATCGAGGGAGCATTGTGGAATCTCTGGGGACGCGGCTGAAGGTGCACCACCAGTCCTTATACATGGAGGCGAACTTATACCAAGCTGACTGGTGAAGTGGAATTGAAGAAAAGGCGTTTCAGAGATCCAGTACGGAGAACCATCTCGCTCCTGATGCAATGGTTGCCATTATTTCTTTAAATTTTGCAACCACTGGGGCTAGGCATGGGGTCACTCTATTGAGCTCAACGTAATCTATCGTTAATTGCCACGTCTTCTTATCCACCTTTATGACAGAACACATTGGAGAGCTACACAAGCTTTCAGTCTCTATGAGCACTCCTTGCTCTACTAGTGCTTCAGTGTTCTTGATGCCATCTTCTGCAGCAGCAGGATAGTGGTACTGACTTTATGGTTTGGGATCTGGCTCATCAACCACTACCTCGGCTGTTATCTTTCCACACTGGAGGTTTTTTTAGCAAACACCTCCAAGTGTCTTTGTGCAACTATAGCCACTTCTGCTTTCCAATCAGGCATCACTAGATCTTCAGGTGCCTTCACAGCTACCACATGGTGGGATGCTGGAATTACCACATGCTGTCCGTTTTCCACATTCTGGATCAACCTTTGATTAAGAAGAGCCACTACCAGATTCAACTGCGATAGTAAGTCCATGCCAAAGATACCTTGGCCACCTAAGGCTTGAATTCCAAAGACAGCTTTGGTAGCAATTGTATGGATGACACATCTGATTGGCTTTGTGAAGAAAACCATACCTTCCCTTCCATTAAAGCCTACTAGGACCTTTATGTCTTTGATGGGGTGCCTTTTCACTTTAGGTTCAGCATCTGTGCATAGGATTGAAACTGTAGCACAGGTATCTATCAGCATCTGATGACCAAGTTTCCCAAATGCTCCCTCCATCGTGACTGATGTGGTTGGTCTTCCCCATTTGTTGTGTGTTACAGGTGCCGTTACTGGGGAATGAGGGGGAGTTTGGCCCCATCACATCAGATTAGGAGCGTTTCCTTCTTGATGCTTGCTGGAGACTGCTTCCTGTTTCTCGTACCTCATGAGCGTTGTAGCAGCTTCTCTGCTGGTAATCCATTTATGGCTTCATTAGTGTCAAATTTAAGCAGCTTCTTCCATAAGGCATTTCTGAATGCCCTCTGCTCCTCATTGTGAGAGCTGTTCTGGTAACTATTTTTACCATGATGCTATGCTGCAGACCGTTTTTTCCCTTGCTGACAGCTGGAATTCCCTCTGTGACCTTTGGGAAACTCCTTTTCTTTGCTACTCTGTCTGTGGTCACTGCTACCTTCTTCCTGGATCCAGGTACAGGGAAGGCTTCTCTCTGGATTTCATAGGCCTCTCATAACCTGTCCTCCAGTTCCCTCAGTGAGATGGTCTGATGGTTCAGTGATCCTAAAGTAACTTTCAGGGTAGGAGCTAACCCTCACAAGACTGCTTCCTGAAACTCTGGAGTGTCGCATGAAAGAGCACCAGTCAGAAATACAATAGCTTCTTCCTGCTTAAGTACTTTTCAGGTCATTCATGAACCTGTTGCCATTCACAGTAGTACCTTCCTATTAGATTTTGGTGGGGAAAGTAGAATTTCAGCACACATTCAAACAGCTGTAGAGTGTTCTCTGTGTCCCCCACCTGTAGATGGATGGGGAGGGTACTGAAATCTTCTCCTGGCATACACTCCTACACCAACACAGCAGCATCCTCTTTGCCAAGTCCAGGGAGAGCATTTACCTTGGCCAGCCAGCCTAGGGCTGTCTCTCGATTTAAGGAACCAAGGGCTTTTCCCACTGCCTTTGCCTGCTCTGGAGTATACAGCTTGATCTCATGCCAAGTCTTTGTAGAATGTGACGAGCTAGGCCCACAGCTGATTACCACCATGAGAAGGTTTCTCCCCTCCTGGAATTCAGTCTCAATTGGTGCTGAAGGCTGCTTTCTCTCTGCTTCCCTTGTCTCCAGCTATCTTGATATTCTATGGAGAACTTCCTCCTCAGAGTCCTCTGAGCTGTTATTGCCCCGGCTGCATCAAGGGAGGGGCAAACCGCAGCCACTAAGAGCTGCGTGCAGCCGTACCTGCGGATGCTCAGGAAAACAAAGTGTCTTGTGGCCTGCCAGGGGTTTACCCTGAACAAGCCGCAAACCAAGTTTGGGAACCCCTGCTCTATAGCTAATCTGCATATAACAATTTCATTACTGTGTTTGGGAGACTGCACAGATGGTGGATTACTTGGCCCAACTGCCACAGTTCTTCGAAACCACCCACACAATAACCCCAAACACACACATCCTCATTTGCCACCCACACAAATTCACACAACTCTCCCAGCACACTGCAACCCACACATAAATCAACACAGCTATCCTAGCACAACCCACACATTTGCCCACTCTCACACTTACTATAAAACCATAGCCACAGATTATCACCAGGTTCAATCGTGACCAGGATTTGTGGTCTATTACCATCCAATCTTTAAGTTCTGAGCCAGTTTTGACTTTCTGACACACAGCTTTATTAATTATCCCTGTGATGGGCTTTCAGCTACTAGTTATTTAAATTTGACAAAATATTACTCCCAAAAAGCTGCACAGCATATTTTTTAAACATAAATAAACAAGTACTCACCTCTGGAATGTCATTTTATACTTATTGTATATGACTAGCTTTGGCAACTGTACTTTGCTAGCTAATATATAATTTTGGTCTTATAGTCCAAACAGAAACATATTTATGTGGCATATAACAACTTAAATGAGATGAGTATTCTCCCATTTCATTTCCATGGAAAGATGAGATATACTCTGTCTACCATAGTTCTGATGGAAGGACAGGGTCCTAAATTGTTTTTAAATCAGGCCCATATCTAATGTGCTCCAGTATCTCAGAAAAATGTGAGGGATTTCTTACGGTTACTATCATGACTTATGAACTTGAATTAACTCTTGAGTTCCTCTTTCATATTAATAGTAAAGCACAACATACTGGGTGACATAGACATGTGTGTAACATTATTTAACAGAAAACAAGATACAGTACAGCGAGCAAATATTTGTGCATCTCACCAAGGAATTATTTTTAACATTTTTTCTTAACTACTGTGATACATTAAACACTTATTTGTTCAAAGTCACTTTTTTAAAATAGCAAACCATGTTTTTCCTTCTCTGTGAATAGACAATTAAAACAAAATGTCAGAAAAGAGTAATGTAACAATCTACATTATTTCTGCTTATATAAATATACAGGGCACTTTTTCTTGTGGTTAGTGTTTGTTGGGAGCAAAGGCAGATTTAGACTTGACAGAAGCCTACCGTGATTTAACATTTTAACAGAGTAATGTTTATTGTTGTGAAGAAATTGCAGAGTAATCAAGTTTGTGGGGAAAACAGAAGTTAAAGTAACCCCACAGCCATAAGAATGCCATGGAAAGCGGTGGCTGCCGGCTGGGAGCCCAGCTCTGTACGCAGAGCTGCCACCAGCATCAGCGTAGCAGTAAGGATGGCATTGTATGGTATCGCCACCTTTACTTCTGTGCTGCTGCCTGCAGAGCTGGGCCCTCAGTCAGCAGCCACTGCTCTCCAGCCACCCAGCTCTGAAGGCAGCGCAGAAGTGAGATTGGCTATACCACATCTCCCCTAAAATGACATTGCAACCCCTTGGCAGCTCCCTTTTGGGTCAGAACTACCAATTTGAAAAACACTGGTGTCCCCTGTGAAATCTGTACAGTATAAGGTAAAAGCACACAAAAGACCAGATTTCACAGTCCGTGACGCGTTTTTCATGACCGTGAATTTGGTAGGGCCCTACATAGGTATAAGAAAAGATAACAAAAAGTTTATGTATAGCCAGCGTAACAGAGAAGCTGTAGACTGCGCACTTGGAGGTGACTGCAGTGAGTCACATGGTCAGGGTCTAACTGATTGCCATTCTGACCAAGGGGAAAATTCCTTCCTGACCCCAAATATGGAGAGACCTGGGGGCTTTTCACCTTCCTCTGCAGCACAGGCCATGGATCACTTGCAGGTTTAAACAAATGTAAATGGTAAATTCTCTATAACTTGAAGTCTTTAAACCATGATTTGAGGATTTCAGTAACTTAGCCATAGGTTAGGGGGCTATTTCTGGAGTGGGTGTATGCAGGAGGTCAGACGGATGATCATGATGGTCCCTTCTGACTTTAAAGAATATAAGCGCATCCCGATTTGCTTTTCACTTGTAACTGATCACTGCTTATGCCTGCTTGCCTTCATCAAGATGTTAGCTCCATCTGCAGCACGGTGGAAAAGCTCTATCCAACAGTGTTTCAATGCAATCACCCAAGCCACTGTATTCCTGTTCCTCTTTACAACCAGGAAGCCTTCTGTAGGGTTAAAATGCGGAGCAGGTGCTCAGGCCTAGCTAAGGCAGACCAGCCAGCTGACTCCACTCCCACTAACTCCCCGGCTGTGCAGACAGACCCTATGTTAGCTGCCGAGGGCGGACAGTGAGGCTCAGTGGCGAGGGCACTCAACTAGACTGGGAATGAAGGGGAGAGGGGGAAATTAAAGGCGCCACCACACTGGCGACCTATGGCACCACCCCTGTCTGCGGAGCTGCGGGCTCATGCAGCGGGCCGCCCCAGCAGCCAGGTCTATGCGGTGGAGAGGGGGGCTCGCCTTGTCCCCTCCCCGTGGTGGGGGCGCCGCAGCTCCGGGGCGGGCGGCTGCGCGTAGGCTGTGCTGGGAGGGTGCCGGGCCGCCCAGAATTCCGCGACACGCGCTAGCGCTGCACCCCGCGCGCCGGGAGCCAGCAGCACGAGGCCCACCAGTGCCCAAGCCACACGCGTCTCGCGGGACGGAGCACCCACCGGAAGGCCCGAGGCGGAAGCAATCGCTTCCGGGGCAAAGGGGCCGCGGCAAGATGGCGTCTCCCATGGAGCTGAGCTGCTGGGGAGGAGACTGGGGGCTGCCGTCCGTGCACAGGGAGTCCTTGATTGTCATGGTAACGGCCGGCGGGGGGCGACCCAATCAGCTCGCGGGAGGTGGGGCGGGGAAGTGGCTCGCGCCCGATCGGCTCGCGGACCGGGATGGCCCCGGGTGGCGCCGCGCTGGGGGGGCGGTCGGGAGGCTCTGCGGGGCGGCGCCGCTGCAGCTGCTGCCGGGCGCGGAGTCCTAGTTCTCGTCTCAGTTTCTGCGGAGCCGGCTGCCGGTCTGCCTGGGGCGATGGCAAACGGCCCCAGCTCCCGTGGCGGCGCGGCCCCCGGCTAGAGCCCCTCGGCCGCTGATGGGAGCTGCGGGGCGCCGCGCTGCGGGAAATCCGATCCCCGGGCTGTGGCCGTTGAAATAACTCCGGGAAGCGGTTCCCTTCCACCACGGGCCTGTGTTCGGACCTTTGTTACGGCTCATGCCGCCTGCCGGTTCCCTGATGCGGAATGGCGCGTTATTTATACCTCGCCTGGGACTCTGTTTGGGCTACAGGAAAGCGATGCTACAGCTTCCCTGGCAGGTACTATAGGCAGAGACGAGCAAAAAGCCCATTAATTGAAGTGTAGCAACATTATTGTTCACGTCTGTGTCTCGGTGATTGCTCAGTAGGGAAAATTATTTCTTTAAACCTAAATGACGGCCTGAGGAATTTACAACCTAAAATACTAATCCTGATAGCCGATCTGCTTTGGTGGACTTTTACACCCTTGCAGAGCTGCCCTGAAGTCATTGAGCCTGCACAGGGGAGCTGGCGAGGTCAGGAGGTAGGGAATTGCTGCCATGTCTTTTCCCGTTTAGTCTCTAGAGCCCATAGTAATGCTTGGTCACATAATTCCAAGGTCTTTCTACAACATAGAGTTAATTTGGATACCTATGTGTTTGCAGTATGGCACTGATGTCAGGACATTATTCTTAACTCCTAGTTTCCTAGAAACGTTCTGACATTTAAAAATTATTCTAGCTGACCACCACTGCCTGAAACTGCCTAAACCAACCCTTTTGCAGTTAATATAAGTACAAGTTACAGCAAGAAATTCTAACTCTTAGCACAAAAAGATTAATAATGTTAGTCATCTATTTGTTAAAAAATACACTGAATGTGCATAAAGAAAGTGAGATCGTGAACCATTAACAACATGGCTACCCAGAAGTGCTCTAGCTTAGTGATATCAATTCTTAAAAAGATCACTTTTTTTTTTAAATGCTGACTAGAATTTTTAATGCAATGTTTATTGCAGGCTTATGCCAGTTTTTCTGGTGCGCCAGTGAAAGTGAATGCTATTGATAACTCATGGAGAGCTCCAAAAGGTACTTGCTTTTGTAATTTTTTTTCCTATACACACTTGCCATTTTACAAATGAACGCCTGAGTTTGCAAATAATTGTATGTACATGCCAAACTTTTACACATGTGAGAAATCTATTTGACGTCATTGGGACTACTCACATTAATGAAATTAAGCATGCATGAAAATGTGTTTACAATATCAAGCCTGAAAATTGTATGACAGTAAAGTGCTATCCAGAGGGTATAAATAGTATATCCTGGATCACTATGTAAATTTGATACAACTGACAATCAACAAAACACTGAAACTGACTATACCTATAGTTTTGTCAAACACACACAGTAAACAAATTGAATCAGAAAAAAATTAAAATTTTCTAAGTTTTCAGCACAGTATAGCTAGAGGTAATTTGTAAAAATAGTAGCCACAGAACTTTCAAATGGAAATTAGATTATCAAGTTACCAGTGTTCCTTTAAATTAGGTGTAACTTGGTTAGAAGATGAGTGTAAACGTCAAGAAGTATAATTTGCACCAATCTGAATGTGCAAAACCATGATGAATTTACACAAAGGTGAATCAAAAGGATGGTGTATGAGGAAATACAACTAAGAGGTGGGTTTAAGATAATATGCTAGGGAGGCCTTTATTTTGGACCCTCCTTCTAGTTTATTTCCTTCATCATTGGTATGTAAATCGCACTCCTTTTGCACAGGCTCTGGAAACCAAATCAGTGCAAGTTAAACTAATTTGCCACTGCTACCTGTCATATGATTAGCTTGTGTATCACTTATATCCACATAGAACTTCGCCCCTTATGACTTGTAGGGCAAAATTCATCCCTGGTATATCTCTTTGATTTCTATGAATTACATCAGGATCTAATTTAACATATAAGCTCATCAATTCTGTATTTTTTAACAAGTTAAATATAAGGAAAGAGCATTTTAAATTCAACTAATTCTCCAAAACTCTGGTTCAATAATACAGTCTTATTTACTTGTATTATGGTAGCAGCTAAAGACCCAACCAAATCTAGTCCCATTGTGGTAGGTACTGTACAAATATAATATAAGATAGACTCTGTGGGCCAGTGGTCCCCAAATATCTTAAGGTCATGCCCCCCCTTTCCTATAAATGTAATCTGTGTGCATCCCGCTGGGAGCCGGGGCTGGAGCTGCGGCTGGGGCCATGGTCGGGAGCAGAGCCGTGGCTGGGAGCAGAGCCGTGGCTGGGAGTGGGGCCGTGGCCAGGCCACAGTCGTGGCCAGAAGCCAAAGCTGGGGCCTCAGCTGGGGGCAGGGCTGGGGGCAGAGCTGGAGTGGAACTGTGTGGCGCTCCGTCCCCACCTGGCTGGAGCTGTGTCCAGGGCCGAGAGCAGAGCAACAGCTGGGAGTTGGGGCCTTTGCTGGGGGCAGGTCTGGGTCTGGAGCCAGAGCAGAGCTGAGGGCAGAACAGGGCTGGGTGGCTCTTCCTCCCTGCCCTCCCAAAGGGGCTGGCCTGGGCCTTACCATGCCCCCTGGAATGTTTCTCCACACCCCCCCACGGGGGGCACACCCCACAGTTTGGGGACCACTGCTGTAGGCTGTCCCAAAGAGTTTACAATCTTAAACCCCAATCCTGCAATCTGGTGTGTTCAGGTGGACCCTCACACCATTGTGAGGAGTCCCACTGAAGTCAGTGAGGTTCCATAAGGGTGCAGGGATCTGCCTGCTCAGATCAGATGGTGGCTCTAGTTTAAGGCAAGACATAACTGGGGTTTAAAACAAATGCGGGAGAAAGATGGGAGAATGGGCTAACGGACTAGTTGTGTGTACAAGTTGTAGGTTTACTGGCTGAAATTTTCAAATAGGTAGCTACAGTTAGGTACCTAAAAAGTAGCCTGCTTTTCAAAAGTGCCCAGCGTATCCTATTGACTTCAGTCTGACTGTGATGTGGCCCTGTCTTTGTTTGGATTCTTTTTCCATGCTAACTATGGCCCTGATTCTGGAAACACATGCACGACCGTAATGAAGTTCTTTGTTGTGTAAAGCTAAGCACTTGTATCAGTGTTTGTAGGATTAGGGCCCATTTCAAATTCAATTAAAAGTGTCCCATATAAATTCTGTTGACAGTATAATTTTCACTTCTTAGGAGATGTGCCAGTGTTGATATCAGAAGAGACAGTTATTACTCAGCCAGCAAAAATACTAAACTTCCTAAGAAAACAGGTAGGTCTCTAACTTGCTAAAGAGAAATGTTGGGTTTAGTTCAGTTTAATTTAATTTGCAACTTGTTTTTTTCTCTGTCATGTAACATTTCTGCCTGTGTCACAATATTTATCTGTAAATATCCATACAGATGGTTTCTAATAACATGAAGCCCAATTCTGCTACTCTTACTTGCGTAGAGTAGCACTAGGTCACTTCATTGTGACTACTCATAAGTAATTGTCTCTCAAGCATGAGTAAGGGTGGCAGAGTGTGGACCATGGTTAGCTGTTTAAGCAGGACTAACTTTAACCCTTCTAAGGTTTAAATATAAAACAAACAACAAAAGCTTCATTGAGCAGGTTGACCCAGCCTGAGTTGTGTATGAAGTGTTCAAATAGCTAATCTTTCTCTAATGTTGCTGGTTTTTATAGATCACATTTTTATGTCATGTTTTTTACATAACTGGATTACTCTAACAGAAATGTTTATTTTACTTTAAAACATCTATTATTTTTAATCTGCTGTGGGGATTTTTTGGATAGCAAAACAAAGAAAATCTGGAATCGTTTTTCGTGATGCACATTTTGGCAATGTACAGTTTTACTCTTGATGAGCAACATCTAGAATGTTAAGTAATCTGCAAAGGGTGGGAGTTGGTTTGTACAGTTTTTCCATCTTTATAATGTAGGAAGAGGGCCTAAAATGGTATTGTCTCTTTTTTTTCCCCCTGCTTTGTTTTTACATCAGAAATTCAGTTCCTGTCTAGCCTGGAAGAGTCTCTGATGACTGGAAAGTTAGTGATATTATGACATCAGAAGAATTAAGAGAGTGAAAACTGAGAATTGGAGCTGGGAAAGGATTTTTAATCACACTGTTTAACACATATTTAACCCAAGAATTTTAAACATCAGTGACTAAGGAACCTCTTGGAGAAAAGACGTCGGTTAGAGATTCAATACTTCTCTCTTTCCAATCAAGGTGTGAGAACTAACAATATGCATCCTCTGAGATATCCCAGAGGTCTTCCACAAAACTGGGAAGAAAACCATTAACACTCCCAGTATATCTACACTTGTCTCTTTTTGACAAAACAAACGTCCAAATCTTCTTTACACAGTGTAAAGACTGAAAAAGTGGGCACAAGACCCATTTTAAAAAAATCTGTTGCAGGTCATCTTTTAAAAGGAACAAATATGTACCTGCATAAATTTGTGTGTATCTATCTTCTCATTCTTTGAGAAGTTTCTCATTTCTGCTCTAGAAACCAGGAATGATACAGAATAGTCTATACACATATCCACTTCTCTTTTCTTTCCTTGGGCAGTGAACTACAAGGCTAAACACCAAGGGTCAGATTCTGATCTCAGCTAACTTAAATGGATTTGATTTGTTGACTTCAGTAGAATTACTCAAATTTATGCTGGTGTAATTGAATCTAGAATTTGATCTATGGTACCTTCAGGACTCAGACAGTGTTTACATTTCTAAAAGGATAACTTTGAAAAATAACAAATAAAAGAGTGTTTTGGTTTACTCTCTATACATCTCCATATGTGCATGAGGCTTTACAGAAAATTGAGAGAGCTATCTACCGGAGGAGTTCAGTACAGTATTGGGACCTGAGTAATACTTTTTGCATCTGTTTCACTCTGCTGCTGCTTGGAAAGCAGTTAAAGGCAGGCTGTTTTTCTGGGCCTTCCTCTCCAGTGGAGGCTGAGGATACTGGGAGCAGTAGAGAGGTTGGGCATGGAGAGGTTTAGCACAGAGGGTGTGGATGATTAAAGGAAGAAAATTTCAGTAGGTATACATTTTCCATTCTTAGATTGCAGGACTTAAAATTATTTTGGTTACTTGACCTGCTTAATAACTGTTTAGCTCTACAGAAGCCACCAGTTGTGGGACTTCTTTTCTGTGTGAGAATTTTCATGTGACACTGTGTGTGTGTGTTGCATGTGTGTTTTTTAACTTGACAGAAATACAATGCTGATTATGAACTATCTGCAAAACAAGGAGCTGACACACTGGCCTACATTGCACTACTTGAAGAAAAACTGCTTCCTGCTGTGGTAAGCATTTACAAACATAGAATGATGGTCAAGATAAAATGTGATCAATAATTAAATATTGCCCAGTGTAAGACATTTCAAAGGAACTTGGTTTTCAGAGAGAGGGTGATGAACGCTTTCAGACACTGAATGGAGCAGGCTATACGTTATTCGTAAATATTTGTATCTGTGAAGGTGTTAGGCAGCATGCATTGCTCCAAATGGATTCTTATGGGAGATGGTCATTGGTGTTGATTTTGTAGACGCAGCCATCACACCACAGTTGTGGCTGCAACTTGCTTCCTTTTTTTAAGCCCAATTTTGACAGTACTTCTATCTGCTTCCAAAAATCTGGGGGGCAAGGTATTTCTGAGACACTCTTTTTAAAATGAGCTATACCTATTTTTCCTTTATTTTGTTTCTAAATGCAACATTTTGAGAGAAACTGTGTCACAAAAACAATTTATAGTAATGTGACATTTGGGGGACCACCCAGACCAGTAAGGGGTTATGTCACTATCTATCCTGTAACCGTGGGGTTCCTTAATGCTGTGCTGCTATGTCTCAGATCGCTGACACCAATAGCCTGCCCATAAGCACAAGGTCTCACCCTGGCTTCTGCCAGCCTAGTTATTCACTGGAGGTGACACCAGTGGCCCTTCCAGTCCTGAGTGTCCTAAATCCGTTCTCTCTAAGTTCTTAAGTACCAGACCGTTCCCCTCTGGTTCATTGCTCTTGAAGACATAGAATCATAGAATATAAGGGTTGGAAGGGACCCCAGAAGGTAATCTAGTCCAACCCCCTGCTCGAAGCAGGACCAATTCCCAGTTAAATCATCCCAGCCAGGGCTTTGTCAAGCCTGACCTTAAAAACCTCTAAGGAAGGAGATTCTACCACCTCCCTAGGTAACGCATTCCAGTGTTTCACCACCCTCTTAGTGAAAAAGTTTTTCCTAATATCCAATCTAAACCTCCCCCACTGCAGCTTGAGACCATTACTCCTCGTTCTGTCATCTGCTACCATTGAGAACTGTCTAGAGCCATCCTCTTTGGAACCCCCTTTCAGGTAGTTGAAAGCAGCTATCAAATCCCCCCTCATTCTTCTCTTCTGCAGGCTAAACAATCCCAGCTCCCTCAGCCTCTCCTCATAAGTCATGTGTTCCAGACCCCTAATCATTTTTGTTGCCCTTCGCTGGACTCTCTCCAATTTATCCACATCCTTCTTGAAGTGTGGGGCCCAAAACTGGACACAGTACTCCAGATGAGGCCTCACCAATGTCGAATAGAGGGGAACGATCACGTCCCTCAATCTGCTCGCTATGCCCCTACTTATACATCCCAAAATGCCATTGGCCTTCTTGGCAACAAGGGCACACTGCTGACTCATATCCAGCTTCTCGTCCACTGTCACCCCTAGGTCCTTTTCCGCAGAACTGCTGCCTAGCCATTCGGTCCCTAGTCTGTAGCTGTGCATTGGGTTCTTCCGTCCTGCACTTATCCTTATTGAACCTCATCAGATTTCTTTTGGCCCAATCCTCCAATTTGTCTAGGTCCTTCTGTATCCTATCCCTCCCCTCCAGCATATCTACCACTCCTCCCAGTTTAGTATCATCCGCAAATTTGCTGAGAGTGCAATCCACACCATCCTCCAGATCATTTATGAAGATATTGAACAAAACCGGCCCCAGGACCGACCCTTGGGGCACTCCACTTGATACCGGCTGCCAACTAGACATGGAGCCATTGATAACTACCCGTTGAGCCCGACAATCTAGCCAGCTTTCTACCCACCTTGTAGTGCATTCATCCAGCCCATACTTCCTTAACTTGCTGACAAGAATACTGTGGGAGACTGTATCAAAACCTTTGCTAAAGTCAAGAAACAATACATCCACTGCTTTCCCTTCATCCACAGAACCAGTAATCTCAACATAGAAGGCGATTAGATTAGTCATGAACCAGATGGACCTATCTTCCATGAATCTATCTAGCTCCCTTTTGAACCTCATTATAGTATTGGCCTTCACAATACCCTTTGGCAAGGAGTTCCAGAGTTTGAGAGTGCTTTGCATGAAAAAATACTTTCTTGTGTTTGTTTTAAACCTGCTACCTATTAATTTCATTTGGTGGCCCCTTGTTCTTGTATTATGAGAAGGAATAAATAACACTTCCTTATTTACTTTCTCTATACCACTCATGATTTTATAGACCCCTATCATATCCCCCCTTAGTTGCCTCTTCTCAAAGCTGAAAAGTCCCAGTCTTATTAATCTCTCCTCATACAAAAGCCATTCTATACCCCTAATCATTTTTGCTGCCCTTTTCTGAACCTTTAGACATGAACCAGGGCAGGCAGTGACAGAACCCCTTACTGGTGTGCGTGGTTCCCCAATGTGTCAAATAGAAATTTCAGATGTGTTTTATTTAGTACTCCTGAATGAGATCTGACATGCCTGATTATTTTTGATAATGTCAGGGGCATAACTGTGGAGTTCTTTTTAATGGATTTTTGGAACTTCTCAAGGTATGCTGGTATAAAGATGTCCTGTTTAGTATCCTCCGCAAATTTGCTGAGAGTGCAATCCACACCATCCTCCAGATCATTTATGAAGATATTGAACAAAACCGGCCCCAGGACCGACCCTTGGGGCACTCCACTTGATACCGGCTGCCAACTAGACATGGAGCCATTGATAACTACCCGTTGAGCCCGACAATCTAGCCAGCTTTCTACCCACCTTGTAGTGCATTCATCCAGCCCATACTTCCTTAACTTGCTGACAAGAATACTGTGGGAGACCGTGTCAAAAGCTTTGCTAAAGTCAAGAAACACTTTTCACTTTTTTGACTGCTGCTGCACATTGAGTGGATGATTTCAGAGAACTGTCCACAATGACTCCAAGATCTTTCTTGAGTGATAACAGCTAATTTAGACCCCATTATTATATGTGTATAGTTAGGATTATGTTTTCCAGTGAGCATTACTTTGCATTTCTCAACATTAAATTTCATCTGTCATTTTGTTGCCCAGTTACCCGGTTTTGTGAGATTCCCCTTGTAGCTCTTCACAGTCTGTCTGGGACTTAACTATCTTGAGTAGTTTTGTATCATCTGCAAATTTTGCTACCTCACTGTTTCTCTTTTTCCAAATCGTTTATGAATGTTAAATATTGAAGGATATAGTGTGTGATAGTGATATAAACTTTTCCTATGACATTGACACTGCACCATAAGATGAGTGAATGATCTATAGGATCAGTCGTCGATTTATTTAGAATCTTTGCTTTGAATGTTGTGCATTATCTACAATGTCCTAATGTCTTAATTTAATAGGAGCATAGTTACAGCCTTAAACTGTATCTTAATGCCTTGTGAGTGGGAATATAATTTAGTAAGGCGCCTGCTTGCTTTTTTTAATACTATAATTCCTATTATTTGTGTAACAGAGAACCTTACACAGTCTTTATAAAGAGAAGCATAATGTTTTCATTAGAATTCCTATTAACTCTTGTTCATGTTCTTCACTGTGTTGATACAGCTGCACACATTCTGGGTCGAGGCTGAAAATTACTGTACTGTGACAAAGCCGTGGTTTGCTTCAAGGATTCCATTTCCATTGAGTTTATATCTACCTGGGAAGATGTCCAGGGAAGCACTTAACAGGATCCTGCTGATGAGGGGAGAGCCTCCACTATACAGTTTGAGTGAAGTAGAAGCACAGGTATGCTTTGCTTTATGAGTAACGTAGGTCACAAATTGGTACTGACAAGGGGAAGAGCTGAAATGGAGACTTATGTTGTGTAACGATAAATGCTGTTCTGCATACTAGTCTTCCCACTTTTTATTGCTCTTAGGTCAATTTTTCTCTTGTTAGATATACAGAGATGCCAAGGAGTGCCTAAATCTTCTATCAAACAGATTGGGAACATCTCAGTTTTTCTTTGGAAATATGTGAGTGTAAACCTTTTTATGATTGATAGTCATCTCACATAGTGCATGCTCTAACATTATTGATTAATTGCAAGAATGTCTCATGCTGCTCCAAAATAGATTCAGGTTTAACATTTATCTTTGGAGGTAAGATCTGAAGAGAAATGTATATGTTATAAACAACATAGTACTTTAGTGTCAGTCTGTTCAGACAGGGGTCTTGGTGAACCAAAGATTATAATTTTTCACTAAAACCTTCAGTGCTTTCTCCACTTATTTATATGTCTTTTGCTGGTGATGGCCATTGCTTGAACAAAATAATTAAAACCAGGCCCATCCACTTTTAAGTGTAGCAAACTCCCAATTTTGGCCACATCATGCTGCCTCAATCCCCAAGTGTGGAAGGCCCTAAATACAGTAGACCCACAGGAGGTCTACTGTGCAGGTGGATATCCCATGTGTGCTAGCTCAGCAGCTCTCTCCAAAGTGGTTCTGGGGGATTTGGAAGCATGAAAAGGGAAGGGCAGAGGTGTGTTGGTTATCTAAATCGATGCAGTGATCCCCCCACACTTGGTCAACTGCTGCCTATTTCTAGTTACGGGCTGTAGTGCTGGATGTACTAGTGCTTTGTGGCCTGTGAGCAGATTCTGTTTCCCTGCCTAAAGTTTGTTTACTTGGTCTCTGCACAGGAGACTAGACTGTTCCAGAGGTGGTGCAAGAAATGGTTTGTAATGTGACTTGAACGCCTACCATATATGGAAGCAGGGCTGAATTTTAATTCTGAAATTATGCTGCTTGAGCTTGTAAGGCCCTCTCAAATTCAGAAGCTCTAAAGTCAGTAGAAGTCCACTCAGCTGATGGTGTGATGGAGTCCCAGAATAATTGGTTAAATTGTGCTTTGCATTTTTTTTGGTGTGTGCTCAGAAAGTGGTTTATGGAGTACTGCACTGTTAATGTTTTGTCTGTTTTTTTTATTCTCGTTAGGCCTACAACCTTAGATGCCTTTGTATTTGGTTTTCTTGCACCTCTTTATAAAGTGCGCTTCCCTAGAGTCCAATTACAAGAGCACTTGAAACAGCTTTCCAACCTGTGTCGCTTCTGTGATGACATCCTGAGTGGCTACTTTAGACTTAATGTTACAGGTAAGCCATGTTTGTTTTTCTTCTTTAACATGGATACTATATTCAAAAGAAGGATGCCTCTTTCCATTGGATGCCAAATTGAAACTATATTAGTCAGTTACAAAGCTACAACTTTGGCCTATGGCTTTTCATGTTGCGGGTGTGGAGAAGAAATTAAGTCATGATCAGTTCTCAAGTTGTATAGTAGGATAAAGTAATGCTTGAACAGTGGAGTGACAACAGCACTTGTTTAACATTTTAAAGTAGCTTCTCCTGCCCCTTATCGTATATTATTTGGAAATGGGAACAAATCTACATTTGTTTTTCTGATATATGAAACTGAGAAACTTGATTGTTCCTCTTCATCTTTGTTCCCTCAGCCTAAACAGACATCTCCTTTTGGGTTAAGAGGATAACTTAAGTCTATATGGCTAAATTTAGTGGTCCTTAAATTGCGCAGGTCTCCCACTGAAATCGGGGAGGTTTTGCTCAATAAAGTATGACAGCACTTGGTCCTTATTTACCAATTTTTCCTCCTGTATTTAGAATCTGTCCCTTCACAGTCAGATTTCTGTTCCTTTTCTAGAAAACAACCTACCAGTGTAAGCCACACCAAGACCTGTAGTGTGGGTCTTTATTCCTCCTCTAGTGACTAGATCATGTAAGAGGTTTGAGTTTGCTACTGCTTCCCAGCCAATGGATCTGGTCCTTTAACTCAAGCAGTAAAGTTTCATACTTTTAGATCCAGAGATCCCAGGTTCAGTCCTGCAGATGACACAACCTGAGGCATCAGTGCACCAGCATTTCATGTTAAGATGTAGATATAAGCACAGTACTGACAAAAACTCAAAAAGCCAGACTGATATTAACTCTTCTGATTTGCCCGCTGATAGCGTGTGTGTGTGTGTGTGTATGTTGTGGGAGAGGTTTCCCTTCCTTTGGAAGGCCGAGGGAAGGGATAGAAGGCATGGAATATATCTGGGAAGGAAACAGGTACTCTTGCATTACAGTAGATAAAGGGTTACTAATGTCAGTTGCACAAGAATAAACCTGTCTAGTCAGTCTAGAAATCCTACATAAAATATCTAATGACTTGCCAAAATCAAATGGCTGTGGAATGGGGAAAGGAGAAGAGGTGAGTGCATAACTTCTTAATCACTTTGGACAAGTTAAGATTACCATTGCATTTTGAAGGCTAAGGGCTTGTCTACACCAGAGGTTCTCAACCTTTTTCTTTTTGAGCCCTCCCTCCCCTCTTCCCCCCCCCCCCCCCAACATGCTATAAAAACTCCATGGCCCACCTGTGCCGCAATAACTGGTTTTCTGCATATAAAAGCCAGGGCCAGCATTAGGGGTAGCAACCAGGGCAATTGCCTGGGGCCCCACACCACAGGAGCTCCACCGAAGGTACATTGCTCAAGCTTCAGCTTAAGCCCTGGCTGGTGGGACTCAGGGCCCTGGGCTTCAGCCCCCTGCAGTGGGGCTTCAGCTTTCTACCCTGGGCCCCAGCGAGTCTAATACTGGCCCTGCTAGGTCCCCCCCCTGAAACCTGCTCTTGGTCCCCCAGGGGTCCCCGTACCCATGACTGAGAACCAGTGGTCTATACTACTGCTTAAGTTGATATAAATTACGTCACTCAGGAGTGTGAAAAAACTGCTCCCCTGAGTGACGTAACGTACATCGACTTAAGCGGTGTTTACAACGCACTATGTTGGCGGGAGATGCTCTCTTACCGGCATAGCTTCCTCCTCTTGTTGAGTTGAGTAAATACGTTGATGGGACAGTGCTCTCCTGTTGACGTAATGAATCTTCACCAGACATGCAATGCAGCAGTGCCGATTTAGCATGATAGTGAAGACAAGCCCTAAGTATTTGATTATTGCAGATTTTGCTTATGGCTTTAACTTTGCTGTCAAACCTCTGTGCAAATGGCCCTTCTGTCTTCTTTATGGCTAGATGGAGTGGGGAGAAGAATCACAGTTTTTTTGAGTGGGGGGGGGGGGGGGGGGATGGATCCTGAAACTTTCTTTTGTTGTTGTAACATGAGGGCATGGTTTTTAAAGGGTTGAGAACCACTTAATTCTTCCCTTTAGAGCATGTCAAGATTAGCAGGATGTACCTATATCTACACAGAAGTTCGGGTTCAGGATTTCAGTTTGGAAACAAAAGGCTACAACATTGTCTGCAATACAAAGTGTTTCTTTATTAAAGACCTGTTCAATGTTCCCTCTAATTTTTGACAGGCTGTGTGCACAAAAAATTTCTTCTGTGCAAATTTTTGAAGCAGAGTTCAGATTTGTGCACTATGAGGCAAATGCGCCCAAGCGAGTAAAATATTATACATTTAAAAGTTTTAATTTGCAGTTTGTGATGATAATAGTTTTACACCATGTTATTTTATAAATGTCATTTTTAAATACTTAGAAAAAGGAAATTTAACCTCCTTTCCCTTTCCTCCCCTTGCCAGCTAGTAGAATCTGGCTGTGTTGATAGATGGCGGGCGAACAATGTCAAAAGTCACCTGTAAATGATATTTCGGCCTGGCTCCGATGTAGTGTTTCATTTTTTGTGCACACGTGTGCGCGGGATTTAGGACCTGTGTGCGTGTGCACAGCTTGGAGGGAACAGTGGACCTGTTTATAGGGGTGAAAAACTGCATGATCTTTCTGTCCAAAAAAGCTTTGCAAGAGACTTGTGAAGCTCTTCTAAATTTCTTTCCATCTTCATCTTTCTGCTTTGATGCTTTAGGCGTCTCTCCGTCTGGACAGGATACCGTAGATGCAAATCTACAGAAACTCACACAGCTTGTAAATAAGGAATCCAACTTGATTGAAAAGGTTATTTTTCTTCAGTCTTTATTTTCCATTAGTTCTTGTGACTTCATTGTTGTTCCCAGCTATTCTTGCATACTGGGGCCTGGTCTACGCTACAGAGTTATGTCAATGTAAGGTAGCTTATGTTGCGCTAACTCTGTAAGCATGTATACTAAAATGTAGCTCCCACCGATGTAACTCACCCACTACCCCGACTTACGAACTCCACCTCTGCGACAGGTGTAGCGCTTAAATCGATGTAGTTAGGTCAACACAGTGTCAGTGCAGACACTGCATTGCATATATCGACTGTTGCTGCCTTTCAGCAGCTGTCCCACAATTTCCCACACTCGCAGTTAAAGTAGTGTAAGTGCTCCAAGTGAGGATGCACACCGCTAACACAAGGAGCGTAGTGTGGATGTGTAAAACCAATTCTATTACTGTGGTGGCTGTGTGTCGATGTAAATTAGGTTGACTTAATTTTGTAGTGTAAACTTGCCCTAAATAATCATTGTAACTTTACAATGCAATTTTTTTCTTTCCTTGTTTCTTTGCTAAGGAGTTAATTTACATAAAAAACATGAACATAATGTCATAATTCAAAATAAACCAGTAACAAATTCTTCTGCTTCCTGAGGTAACTGTTTCATTGTTTTCAAAGCAGTACTGTTGACAAAGGAAATACAGTGTGCTCAAATGTTGAAGGATAACACAACATATTAATAGGAGTATGTATTATTTGTGTTGCAGTAGCACCTGCAAGCCACATTCCTGGATCAAGGCCCCATTGTGCTAGTCACTGTACACACATGTAAAATACACAATCCCTGCCTCAAATCTTGTCCTCTTCCAAAGGCTTATGTCAGCTATTTTCTTTTGAATAAATGCTGGTAACTAGCAGAATTTGGTTAACCATGTCCCTATGAATAATCCAGACTTCTCCCTAAATAAGGAATTGGTAATGAGAGAGGCAGTTTTTCACTCTTAGGCCTGCAGTTCAGATAATCCGTCGGAATTAGAGACCAAAAGTCCTTCCCATGTAACTGTTCAGGGCCTTGTGTGAATTGTCTTAGCAATCTAGAGATGTCATCAGATCTGCTGCAATCTGACACTACCCCTTTTGTTATGGTTTCTGTTCTCACCACTTAAATCGGCAACTGACAAAGTTTTTTCATGGTGTCCCCTAAGATGTGGAACTTGCTCTGGACATCCATTTAAGCCCTTTCCTTTTGGTTCGAAGACTGGTTTGAAGACCAAAGAGTCTTCTATGTAACTACTTGTCATCCCCTGTCTAGGAACATTCCTTCTTTCCCCTACTCACTCTGTATTTTTAATTCTATGTTTGTTCCTTCTAATGCTTGTTGGGTTTTTTGTTTTTTTTGTTTTTTTTAGTTAATGGGTCAGTCAGAAGTTCTCTGGTCTGTCCTGTACTTGGTAAAGGGCGCTTGTTTCCATGGCTGTCTGTCAGAACCTTTCATAAGCCCTAAATTACTGGGGACAATATTTGAGGACACTAAGCATATTAATTCACTAAAAGATGCCACCCAGATGTGACTAAAAATAACATTCAGAGAAAAATGTCAATGTATAAAATGGTTTGTTCATGAATAATGTGGAGCGTTTCCTGCATTAGGTAGTGATTGTAGCATATTTGCTGAACTTTATGCACTGTTCTATGTGGAGTGTTTCAAATTCCATTTATTTCTTCTGGGAAGTTAAAATCCTTTTATTCAGAAATTGCTTTTAACATGTCTTTGAAAAGATCTTATCATGCTCTTTTAGCAATATATTTTATAAATCATTAGCTAACTGAAATTCCCCCTACTCCTCTGCAGCACTTCTGAAATTAAAGGCTACACTTCTCAAAGGTGCTGAATGCTGCTTCAGGTGCTGAGCAGATTAATGCGCCAGTTGAATTTGGCAGCTTTATGACTTTTGATCCAACAGAATTTGGCTGTCATAAAACTGATACTTAGGCTTCCTTGGAGAAGGTGAGCCACAGCAGTCCTTCAATGCTCTCAGTTAGATGATTCAAGGAAGAGCCCACATAACTGTCCCACCTCTTATGTGCCATGGTATAAATAGCCATCTAAGCACAAGCAGGAGTTTAGGGATGAGAGAGGAACCAAAGCATCCTTTATGACCAGGGCTGAGAGCAGAAATAGCAGGGTGAGACCACTCACACAAACATTCATGACTGGAACCCAGTATGCAGGCTCTTGGCATGCGTCTGTGTTCTTCTGTACACCAAATTCAGCTTCCATTTTGTTTCCTGCAGATGGACGATAACCTTCGTAAGAGTCCTCAACATCCCCCTCGGAAGCTGACAACACTCAAACTTACTGCAACAGGAGATGAAAGCAGTTCATTGAATCGCTTGTCGCCCTGACAGCCTGTGTTGCCATGTATGTGTGTTTGCCTTCAAGTAATCTGAACTTCACAGTAATTCTTTACATAAATGTGGTCTGACAAGGGGATGAATCACCTAATATGGTATAAAACATCCCATGCTGTCTGTTCCTACAGGAAAATTTATAGTCTAGTGAACTAACACTAAGTTGAGGATAGAGTGAATCCTTAAACAATGTACTGTATGAAATTGCCTTAACTTCTGGAGATTTCTGCCTTTTAGGCTAGCACATTTGTTGACTAAGATTTCATTTTACTTTTAAGATTTTTGGTTTTACTGTAACCATGTTATAGCTTGATCAGGTTGCTATACACTAGTGTAGCTACTTAATCACCACTTCTTGCATTTTTCTAGATTTTAGCAGACTACCAAATTCAGTTCTAAAATGGGAAAGCAATGAAAGATTATCTTTGATGGCAGACAAGAACTGAATAGCAATGAGGGATGCTGGCCATTTGTTAATGTGCTTTCACAAATAATGTATTGTGTATGTATTATATTTTAAGAGTATGTATTTTTTAAAAGTCACATTGCACTGCTAGGAGGCACAGTGACCAAATGTACTAAACATCACTTCTGAACCTTTATTGAGATCTGGCCTTAGTCAAATAAGTTTCATCAGCCTGCTGGATAGCCATGCTACAAAATCATAGCACAAACTATAATATAGAAAGATTGCCAGTGTTGGTTCAACAAAGGCAAAAGACCAGACTAGCTGGTCTGGACTGAAGTGCATTGGTTAGGGTTGTGAGAAGAGGCTTGCACAGGCCTTTCTACTTTATACTGCTGGCCAGTCTCTAACCAGTCATCAGTGTCTCACTTTTATAAGCACTATCATTCACCCAAAAACTAAAACAAAAGCCATCTAATCTTATTCCTTGATCATCAAGTGCTTGGGAGTGTCGCATTGCAAAATCTTCATTGAATTGTTAAAGGAGATGCACATGTAATTATGTTTCCTCTTAGCAGCACTGTCAGTTCTAGAAATCTAAATAATTCTGAAATTTTGGTATGTTGACAGATGCTTTATTAATGATATCATCAGATTACTAAAGATGCTCAGCCAAAAGGGAGCTGCTTTTTGTCAAGTGTTAATTCAATATTTCATCTTAGAGAGCGATGATGCAGACGAGTATATGTGCAAGATTACTACTAACTTTATTTGACAAGTCAAACTAAGAAGTCTCTTGACATTTTTTCTCTCAACTTTTCCAACGTTCAGTATATGTAGATAAACTATTTATACAGACAAGACTGTGGATTGTGTAAATACTGTACTTTATCAGCAAGGAATGTAATCTTAACTTTAACATATCTTGTTATTTATAATAAAATGTGTCTCCAGTGGACACATGGAAATAAACTTTGTTACATGCTACTTCTAGAATGTTTTAGCAATTTGAGACATACTGAAACCACACACAATAATTGAATAAAATAACTTTCATGTACATCCCTAGGGTTGTCAAATGTTTTGAAAATTTTTACTGTCTGCATCTTGACGGGATTTAGAATGAGATCATGTTGCATAATTTCTCCAAAGTTCTTTCATAATCTAACAAACATGGAATTGTGAAGAAAAGTATAACTTAGTAAGTCTGTTTTGTGAGTATGTATGTTTGCCCTTTAAAACCGTATTTTGTAAACTAGTTGAACTCTTTCTTTGAGATTAAAGGGGTTTTTGAAGCACTTATCCAGAACTAAAAGTTTGTGTTAGAGGCAAAGTTTCCTATGGAAGCATTTGCATATGATCTAAGAGACACTGCTGCAGAGTAAAGAAAGGGAAGCTTAGTTTGCAGTTGGTAGAATAAAAGAGATCACAATAGGTGGATTTGTATATTACATTTGTTTACATTTAAATGATAAGCTTTTGAATAATTTAGTTTTTTTATATTAAATATATATATATATATGATCAAGACTCCTCCAATCTGATTAAATCTGAGTACTGTTTGTTGTTGTTGTTGTTGTCCCTTTGGTCAGACTGGAATCAAGCCCCATTTAGTCTTAATTTACCAATTAGTTAATATTAATATTAAGGGTTTTTATTTAGTGACTACTCATTCCAGTCAGTGGCCAATCGTTGTTAATTTTTTTGTGCAGACCAATATTGAAGCAATGTAACTCAAATGTAAAAACTTTATGTGGAAATCTTTACCTCTGGTATGAAGACAGACATCAGATTACGTGTGCGCTACACTTAGGTGGTGGGCAGAGTTTGATGAATCCGTTGTGTCATTCAGTGATTGCCCCAGGCGCTGTCTGAGAATGAAAATGAGTGGGCCTGTGAAGTATGTATAGGTCCTTTTTAAAAATAAAAATAAAGCAAACTTTTCTGTAACTTTCTCTGTTCTAGTTGCGGGGACATCTGTAATACCCTAAAGAAATAGGATGAGAAGTATAAAGAATGAGCTGCTGTAAATGTACCTATTTAAGGCTTCAAAGGCTAACTTTTAAAATGGTCTTTATTTATTTTTGCTGCAAATCTTAGTGGAATATAGTATGTTCTTATAAATTGCATTTTTATAAAGTTACAGCACATATGCCAAAATGGCTTAGAATTGTATTAAGAAAACCGCTACAATTATGATTTCTGGTTAAAATAGTTTTTCAGACTCTCAAAATATGTACCTCTCTTACTCAACATTACTATTATTTTTGGCATTCCAGTGGGAACCATTTATGGTGTATTTCTCATACATAATATCAATAGATTTTTTTCTGTTATATATTTAAAACCTTGTTGCTATAGATCAAATACTCTTTACTGATCTAAGCTATTGAAAGAGCTGTTAAACACACTGGCCTTGTCTACGCCATATTACTTAATGACCTGTTAGATTTAGAATGTACTGAGTCAACCCCAGTTTATCAAAGCACTTAAGCATGTACTTAAAAGGTAAGCCTGTGGCTAAGTGCTTTGCTGAATTGGGGCCCTAGATTACAATCCTGCAAGGTGCTAAGCAACTCCTGTGAGGTGCTGGATTCTCTCAGCACTCACTGACCTGTCTCACAGAAGTGCTGAGCATGCTGCAGTATTGAACCCTTGATCATAAAGGCTGGAATTGATGCAGAGCAGATTTAGGCCTAGACACTTAGGCTGAGCCTAATTGCAACAAGCGCTAAAAAACTTAAATTGCTCAATCACATTTTCTCACTTGACAATGAAAAATCCATGTAAAGAACTGACGGCCTTAGGCTTGTACTTATTTTCCTCTCCTTCTTATGTAATAATGTACTCTATCAGGACTGTGTGGGCACAAGAATTGTATCCAGTTTTATAAAGAGTATTTAAGGTTAAGCACAGATGTCATTCATGTGTGTTTGGACATTCTACAATTGTCACCATTTTAAGAGCGAACTGTCTATCGTTACTGTTAGGTGTCATTTAAAAACTAACCAAAAAGAGTTTACCGAAGAATCTTGCACTCCATTGCCTTTATAAACACATCTTCCAATAAACAACTTTGGTAAAAGATTTCCCTGTGGCACCATTTATCCTTTTGCATATTCAATCACTGCTACCCTGTTGGTTTAAATCCTAACCATCGAATATAATCAGTGTTTTATAATGTTGAAGTTATGTATGTGGCTGTGGGTGCTTTTACACCACTGTCTGTATACATAAATATTCCTTTTCTCATAATTAAGCCAACATTGAATGAGAGGGTAGAGAAATCAACTGCCTTGTGTGTCAAGAATGTTCATTTAAGTAGAAACAACAAGGAGTCCGGTGTCACCTTAAAGACTAACAGATTTATTTGAGCATAAGCTTTTGTGGGTAAAAACCTCATTTCTTCAGATGTTTTTACCCACAAAAGCTTATGCTTAAATAAATCTGTTAGTCTTTAAGGTGCCACCCGACTCCTTATTGTTTTTGTGGATACAGACTAACACGACTACCCCCTGAGACTTGAAATTTAAGTAGAAACTGCCTTCCTTTTAAGCATTCTATATTCAGTTTAAAGTGGTCAAATTATTTTGACATGGGTGGTGAGGTAGTTTGCAGGTATTTTTGCTGCCAGACTTTCCACTGTAACATTTAATGCTTGACATTTCCAGTGCACTGCAAACATTGTCGGATCATTACAACCCCCCTGAGCCCAATGTGTAAATGTTATCCCCATTTTTATAAACGAGGGAGACTTGATCCACAGCAAAGTTGTGACTTACCCAGAGCAAATCTAAAATAAAGGTGGTGGTGGTCCAGCTTTATCTTACGCCCTCCTGCGTTGCTTTTCCTCATTCTTTTTGTTAAACAAGCAAACCGGCCATTTATGATTACTACTCACTTGTTTGAACAATCATTTATCAGCTGACTTAGTTGCTTGGCAGGTTACTGTTGTGGAATTACTATGTAGATGCAATTAAGTTAGGGACTGACATTTTCTACTTAAAGAATAGAAAAATTTTCTTACCTAGGCTGTAAATATTCCTCCCTTCCCAATAGACAATGTCAGTTTACAGTGACCCTACCAGTTAACTGTTCTCTACTTTTTGTAATATGATGTTTGTGTTTCCTTGGCGTTTTCCTACTCTGAAACATCTCTTGTTTGGATGGTTATTTCTGAATAAAGGTGTTTGGCTTCTCTCTCTCTCGTCCCTTCCCCCCTTCTTTTATCTTGAGTAAATCTCTTTCTTTCCATTACAGCAAGGCTCTTGTTCACTCCTAGCTTATAAATAATTTGAGTTGGAGAGCTATGGCATGCAAGACTGGGATGCTAACAAGAAGCTGTCTAGTTTTCATGTGGTAGTGTCCATAGAGAATAAACAAAAATATTTTTTGTCGGGGGACACCTTCCTCAATTCCTTAATCAGATTGGGGTGCATATGAGAGGAACTTCTCTCTTCACCTTGGCTTCTCTCATTACAGTTTGCATTTAATTCTGAATATGGTGAGGTGAGGCCAGGCGAATCATTATAAATGCTTTTACGTGTGAGTTCCAGTGTTAGGTTCCAGGCTTGACGGGGGGATGGTTGGAGAGTATAGTGTTAGTCTTATGAGACTTTCCCCTGTTTTGTCTACAGTTTCGTTATTCTAGCAGAACATAGCTGGTGTTGTAGAGACAAGACTGAGACCTTGAATTGGACTCTGTATTGAGTGGGGAGCCAGTGAGCGCCAGGATGGTATGCTCACAAAAATCATATGTTGTTTAATAGGTAGGATGTTGCATATTGTACCAGATGGAGATTTTACAAAGGTGTGCAGCTACTCCCTAGATATGAGTTCCAGTAATTGGGGAGGTGTTGAATGCAGGGGGGGGGGGGTTCTGCCATCATGGCTATTTGGGAATCAGACAGCACTGAAGATCCAAAAGATTGTGAATTTATTTAAGGCCTTGTCTACACTACCATGTTTTGTTGCCAAAACTGCCATTTATCAACCCAAACAGTGACTGCTTACACACTGCGAGGCAACTTTTGTCATAGGAAAATGCCTGGTTTTAGCGACAAAATACATCCACCCTCATGAGAGATTTAAGTCTTTTTCCTCATATTTTCATTGACAACATGCAAGTGTAGACACCACACTTCATTTCAGTGTCTTAACTGGCCTCCAGGAGGTGTCCTACTGTACCTCTCCTGACCACTCTGGTCAGCAGTTTGAACTCCACTGCCCTGCAGCCGGTAAACAACCATCCATCCCTCCTCCCTAGAAGCCCCAGGAATTTTTGAAATTCCATCTCCTGTTTGCTCAGCGTGGAGAGGTCTCATTGCATCCTCCCAGGTGACCATGGCGGATTATCACAGTAAATCCTCTCCTGCTTGGAGCACAGCAGAGCTTTTGGATCTGATCAGTATATGGGGAGAGGAGGCTGTGCAGTCCCAGCTGCTCTTGAGCCATATGAATTGGGATACCTACAGGCACATTTCTCAAGGCTTGTGCGAAAAGTGCTGTGATCGGGACATGCTGCAGTGCAGAGCAAAGATAAAGGTCCTGAGGCAGGTGTACCATAAGGTGAGGGAGGCAAACCATCGCTCCGGTGCTTCACCTAAGACCTGCCAGTTCTATAAGGAGCTGGATGCTATCCTCTGTGATGACCCCACCTCCATCCCCAAGAGCCCCATGGATGCTGCAGAGGGAATGGAGGCAGCAGAAGGAGTACCTAATCCAGAGGACCAAGTTATTGATGAAGAGGTGGAGTTAGAGAAAGGTGTGCAGCTCCTGGCGGGATCACCCAGTGGGGCAGGCAGCCACGAACTGTTCTCCACTCCGGAGGGGTCTAGCCAGTCTCAGCAGTTGCTCTCCGGGGAGCAAGAAGCAGGAAGTGAGACACCTGATAAGTGGCTGTGGCTTTTGTAGTGCAGAGGTGGGTTCAGGGTATAGAAATGTGGGAGGTTGGCTGTGTTTCTGTGAGCTGGACATTTCCCTGTGTAGCTAATCAGTACAGTGGAACAGGGTGTTGATGCATATCAAGATCGCATGGAAATTCTCCAGAGAGATCTCTAG